CGTGTGAATGGCAAACTCCGGAAAATGTTTAGACCCGATTTTAAAGACATTTTCAAGAATTCATGTCTGAAAATATAACTTTTGTTGTGTTCTAATGTCCAGTGAAGGATTATTTACAACATTGCACTTGCTCGCTCCAAATTATAGCTTAGTAAATCTGGCTAAACTGTGATTGTTACCCTGTCAGACTGTCAGTAATCATTGTGGCAACTACAATGTTCTCACAACCCATAGAAGTGAGAGCCAAAGATTCAAAATTACAGATTTGGTCAAAATATAACAAAATGGGAGTGAATAGAAAAAAAACTGTCCCTCAAAGCAAAATGTACTCAATATAGTGAGGTTTTGAAATATAAATGATTTCAAATAAAAGAGTTCAGTCCCTGAATGCACTGTGCAAATAGGCGCGCGAGCACACACACACCAAATGGGAATGACCATCGTGGGTCATTTTACTTTTCCTTCTTTTAGTCTTTCCTTTTCGTCCTTCCATAATCTGTCTCTCTCTCCTCCTACTTCTTTCCCCCCTCTCCTACTTTCTCAATCTCTCTCTCTCTCTCTCTTTCTCTCTGTGAAGGTCATGCAATTGATTTTCCTCTGTCTATTCATTTTTCAAGACTGGCTTTGAAACGTGGGAAGCAGACAAAAGCCACACCGGCCCCTCCCCTACGCTCCATCCCTCTCCTCCACCCTCCACCTTCCTTCCCCTCTCTCTGCTGTCCCTCGCTCATCCAAAAAACCCTTGGACCAGAGGGAGTGTGGAGGAATGTAACCTCCCCCCACCCTCCTCCATCCACGCTCCTCTCCTTCCTCCCCTCTTTTTCTTCCTTTATTCCTTCTACATTAGTCCCTTCCCCTCCTCTCCATCCTCCTCTCCCTTTCAGCTGGATCTCTGACCACATTCCACTAACGGAATTAAAGTCATGCATCACACTTAAAACCCTGCCAATGCATTGTGGGTAGACTTGTTCAAACTGATGTCCAAATTAGCATCGCATTTTCAGCCTCGGCCCCGCTGCGACTGTGTGACCTGCTTGTAAAAATCTCCAAACATTTAATAAAATACGCACACATCAGATCCCGACCTCGGCGAGGAAATGCTGAAGATAATTTAGACTGTAACACCGTCCACACCTGGCACGTGCTGCGATTCATTGTGTTCGTCTAATGCCTCACAATTTTCCGTGACCTTCGCGGCAGCAGAGTTCTATATATTTACAGTTATGGTCCACAGTGCTTCTCATTTTACTGTGAGCAGCGTACCTCGCATTCGTCTTTTTACCCCACTTCCAGTTCATTCACAGGACAGCAGCACACCTACTTCCCTACAGAACAGGTATTTTCCATCAAGACCAAGGAAAAGACTGGAACACCGAAGCAAAACAATTCACAATGCGCAGAAGGCAGTCAAGGCCGTGGCCGTGTGTGAGCACGCTGCTGTATGTACAGTATATCACTGAGACATTTAGATTGTCCAGCGATGCATGGTGAAAACATTTCTGAGGACCAACAAGAGTATGTGACATCGAACAATGAAAACTATCAAAAAGTAGAACTGGCAGATTCATGAGATGCAGTGTCTCACATCACTTACTATGTACAGTATTTACTTACAGTATGAACTTGTAGAGTGCTAATTGTCATACGGTCCTTATAAAAATGACATCAAAATTGTGACTCCAGAGCTGCAGGATCCAGGTCTGACATTAATCTGCTATTAATATTATTGTAATTGATATTATTATGATTGCGCTATTATTTACTATCAACATCAAGATTATCATTACAGGTGCTGCTATCATTAATAACATCATTACATCTATAAGTATCACAGTATTATATTGATTTCATAAAAACAACCTGTCTGGCTTAAATATGACGGTTAACCAACACTTCCTGGTCTCTCTCTTCTCTCTGCCTCTCTCTCTTCGCTCCCCAATTTCCACTCACCTCTCCTCTCACCTCCACCAGTCAAGGGAGATGGACTCCCATACAAAAGTAGTGTACAACCGATGGTCACTAAATGAGCAATATATACCATAATGCATTGCACTCTGGGCGGAGAAACTAAAGGCGGCAGGAACAGCCCGACCTGTCACACAAATGTATTTAAAACACAAACTGAGGCAAACAAGTTTTCTTCTACATTTAAAAATGCTCATTCAACATGTTTTTTACCGAAAAGTATTAAAACTAAATAAATTGATTGTGGGATTTTCCACTGACCAACGTTGTTGTTGTATGTCATGATCCTGCGACGATGACGTGATAATTGGCGCAGGGAAATTGTGTCAAGTAGTGTAGGAAAGCAATTTTTTATTTTGCTGGTGAGCTCACTATATAGTCCTCTACATAGAAGTCACTCTATAGTGAAGTAAGGGTTAGGAATGAGTGAGTGATTTCGGACACAGCCCAGTTCTGCTCGAGGTTAAGAGTCATTTTCTCTCCACAGTCACCGATGTTTGATCGTTGTGGGAACTGTTGGGTTTCTCTATAATATTGTAAGGTCTCTACCTTACTATGTACAGTGCCTTCAGATTATATAAATAAAATTTAATTGAAAAATAGTAATGGCTGAATTCCATTTAGCTTAAGTATCTTCAGACTCTTCCTGTTAATTGTGGCACCGGTCTCAACAACAATCCACACAAACATCAGTATGTTTTAACTTTTTCTGGATGAACTATATTTTTGCCCTTCACAAGTATGAATACACTTATGCCCAAACCCTGCTTACATTAATATTCAGCTATTCAGCACAGAACCGGGAGACGACTTCAATGTAGCCATTCTTTGATCATAGCTTTGCTCATTTTGAGACTATTTAGGCAGAACTGGTAGATGGAATCTTGTGTGAGGACACTTTAAAACACTAATGCATGAAAAGGCTTGGCATAAAAAGAAAGAAAAACAATGGTCAGAATAGCACCAGATGAGGTGTAAATATTCTTTAGAGTCACTGTGAGTTCAGCTCAAAAACAATTAAACCTACATTTCCCACAATGCAATACCAAAACCACATGTTTTCATTAGAGAATGTCTGGTAAATACCTCCACTTACAAACTCAAGCCCAGTAGCCCAGTTTCCAAACCCAGTAAATGTTGTTACATACAGAGCGGATTTCCATGAAACTTGGTTGAAGGATTGGACACGGGTCAAGAAAGAACCCATTAAACTTTGGTGCAGATCCAGACAATGTTAACTTTTTTTAAATCATATTTTTACAATGTTAGATGTTTTTTGACATTTCCACCAATTTTCAATTCATGGGTGAAAAGGGAATCAGGCAAAATAAAGGGTGTGTGTCTATGAGTGTGTGTGTGTGTGTGTGTGAACAATTTGGCGGAACTATGCTCTCTAAATCGCAAATCACACACTTTACACACACAAACATGCATTTTACATTTGCTTACACTCGAATTAGGAAAGAACGGCCATGGAAACACACACACACACACACACACACACAAACACACACCTCTAATGGTACTGTAGCTGCATCATTTCCCCTCAGTAATAGTAGCAATTAGACAGGCTGTATAATTACACTGTCCTCGTTATATAGTTAATTTCTGTAATTACAAATCACACCAATAGTTTCCTCCCTCTTTCTATATCATCTCTTTCAGACACTCACACTCACACACACACACACACAAACACACAAGGCCTATGGAAAATCTTTGTATGATTCTGTGCACATGTATGTTTACAGGTTTGTGCAGCACGCTCACATACACAGCAGCCGTAATTGCGGTTGCTAATAGAGGAGCAGATAATTGTCCTGGTCTGAACTGAATATTTTGTGGCGTGGGGCGTCTCTGTGGGCGGGAGTAAGTGGGTAGATCAGACTGCTGAGGATTGCTTTTGACTGAAAGAGAGATGCGAGTTGAAACGTGTTTTGAAACGCGGTTTGTGTCCATTGGCAACACACATCAGCATATTTATCTCTGCTGTGTAATTTTCTTATAGGCCCGAGCTGCAGGAATCATCAGCGGAGAAATGATCCATCACAGCCATGTTTAATTTAAGTCTGCATACTTGCACACTCCAGTTGTTTGTTTTATTTCAGTTGTTCACAAATTTAAACTCAATAGACTATGTTCAAGACAACTCGATGAAAGGTTTAAACAATTACATATACATCCAACCCGGACTGTAGCCAAGATTCTGAAAATATTATGCTCATGAGTCTCATCCACATAAGTTTGAACAGACAGCAGCTAAAGGCCCAAAATGTTTTCATTACTGGGATTGTCATGTAAATTTAATTCAAATAAATGCTGTTTGCAGACCTCTCCATGTTGCCAAAAATGAAAAAGTGGTGAGAAAAGTGCAGAATGATTCTTTTCATGGACTTAAATCAATCAAATGTAAATATATTAAAGTCTAAAGTCAACTGCACTCAACCCATAGTATAAATGAAAAGTGTCAACCCCTCAGTTTACTTACATCCTCAGACAAAGTGCAGGGACATGAGTATCAATGTCATTGTTTCAACCAATTGTGTTCAGAGACGTGGCAGAACAATTTATAGATGTTCCTTAATTCATAAAGTCAATGGAAAGATGCAAATTCACTGACTGACTCAAAGACGAATCCACATAAGCTGACAATGTTTCAACTTGAGGGAGAACGTTGCACGAATCACAATTCTTTTTATGAATTTGCTTTATAAACAAACAGAGACGAGAGCAGAAAAGAGAAAGAGACAGTGTTTTAAAAGCAGTCTGATGTTGAGCTGAACACAAAAACACAGACACGCACCCACAGACGTCGTTGGTGCATCTAGATTGGCTTTTTGGGAGATTACACAAAACAGTCAAATTTGTGCAAATAAACTGAGGTTAAAGTTTGCTTAATTTTTTGTCTGAATAGTTTTTCAATATGGTACAAATCAGTTTTACAAATGAGATGGACAAATACCTTCATTCACACTGAACCCAAGTGAGCCAATTTAGTTTGTTCTTTCTTTTAAAGATGTTTCCCTTTACCTCACCTTTGCTGCAGTTGCTGTCACCCTCCCTTAGAGGACTCCAGGGTGGGTCCCCCTGACTGGCAAAGGTGCGCATGTGCAGGTAGCTGATGGTCAGCCGGATGACCGAGGCTTTGTCCAGCTGGCTGGTGATGGCACCGGGCAGAGGCAACATCTTGGCCAGCTCAAAGAACTCAAAATTCTCCTTCCCCCGCCGTGACCGCGCCGCATTGCGAGACTTCTCTTTGCGCAGGTTCTGCAGACTGAGGGTGGGAGGTGGGGTGTATTAACGGGGGACAGAACATGGGGGAGAGTGGCATAAAAGGGAAGAGATAAAAAAAAATAAAAATGGAAGAAATATATAAATGAGGGAAGGAGAAAAATGAACAAAAGGGCAGAGAAAATAGTCTGAATCAGCACTGTGTGTATGGATGGAAGACACTGGTAAGGGGGATCACATAATGGCCACTTACTGAACACCTGTTGATTGATTCATGCTTTGTATAAATGACCAGGGCATCAATCTAGAAAACTCATTTCATAAATACATATGATTGAATTGCTGCTGCAATTCAAGTGAAACAATCTCCATTCCTATCCATCTCTTGCAGATTGGCCTGGTAATTACAGACAGACGCCCTCCTTCTATCTGGCAGAAAAGAGTCCTAATAATGCCATTTGCTCTAAAATCTATATGTGAATGTACACACACAAAAACACACACAAAACTCCATTTTCCCTCTCTCCAAGCCCCTTGTTCTTCCCCTCTCCCTCCCTCTCTCTCTCATCTGGTCCTGGGCTAGTGAGCTGAAGCCATGATTGAGGGATCAATAGGAGAGGGAGGGCCAGAGTGACAGAGGGGGGCCGGGGCTCAGGTAGCCTGTCTCTCTGATTGGGTATTGACTCTCCTCAATGAGGCCTGAGTGGTGGAATTATGTTGTCACAGCCACTTCACAATTTGTGTCGGTGCCGCGCTGCAATAAAGTGTGTGTGCATGTGTATGTGAGTGAGAATGAGAGCGGAGAGGAGAAAGAAGAACTGGCCTCTCTCCCTCATGTCTGTGTTGTTGATTCTCATTCAAAGAAAGACCACATGTAGAGTCTGTGTGTGTTTGTGTGTGTGTGTGAACGAAAGTAAGAAAACAACAAAGAAAAGCACGGCACGGCGTGTTTACATGTTTAGATCTTAATCAGTTTCGTAGCTGCGATCGCACTGCTGTTCTCTAATAAGGGAAAACAGAGTGTTTTTCTGGCTTTGTGTGTGTCTGTGTGTGTCTGTGTGTATATATATGTGTGCGAATATGTGTTGCGGTCTCACAACACTGCCAGCCTCTGTAACATCTCATTATTATACTGCCTCGACCCCAGCCACCGAGAACAATCAATACACACACATTGATTCTGCTTAGTTTTTATATCCGCCTGTAAATGACTGGCCATTAATAATTCCAGCCAAATTTAGTTAATCTCCCAGTAAAGGGAGGGGATTCACAGCTCTGACAGGATTGGCAGGTGAGCCACAAAACCGGTTACATGTAGCACCTTCTCCATTGTTTCATTGATGGGAAATTCTTCTCCTGGCTGTCAGTGTGTGTGCACGTCTGTGAATGCATGGATTTCACCTGGCAGCGATTAATTCATGGGCATGCATGAAGGCTTATACAGTATCAACCTGCGTGTGTGCATGTGTGTCAGGTCCTGTGTCTCACCAGGGCAGGGTGGGAGGCTTGGCCAGCAGTCCTTGTAGAAAATCCCACTCCACGCTCACACACTTCCCTTCGCTGACGAAAGGCATAGTCGCCATCCTTCTCCCAATCACGTGCCGACGCTGCCGTTAACGAAGGCTCTGATTGGCTGAGGATGTGACAGACTCAGACCTGGAGGCCCACGACGAAGAATCAGAGGAGCAAAAAGAGAAAAAAGTCATGTAAGTTTGTTTCATTGACCAATAAATAGCTTTAACAGTAGGAATGAGACTGCAATTCTTTAATTAGCTAACATCATGATTTATTGAACAATCAGCTTCTTAACAAAATAATTCATAGGCCTAGATTGAGCTTGAAAAGTTTCTTCCAATAAAGTAAAACTATAATGGATAGGGTGCTATCTATGCCAACAGTTCCCCTGTGAAACCACATTGACATTCACTAGATCCAGACTTCACACTCATAGATATCAATTCCCTGAATGTGCCTGATTTTCTCATCAAGATATTCAGAGAAATCAATGAAAATACACCCTATCTCGCAACAGAAAGAAAATATCCTGATCCCGATCAACATCTTTTTTTTTGCGGAATCTTGCTGACAACTTTACAATATACAATTTTAATTAAATGAAAACCCATCTTAGAATTTCTTACTTCATCAAGTAAGACAAAAATAAGGAGACAGAAAAAGAAACAGAAAAAAAAGGGACAGAAAGAAAGATGAAGTTGATAAAAAGTGATTGGCTACTGTATTTCTGCATATAAAGTTCAGGGAATGATCTCAGAGCTAAAGACATGAGACAAAACACAGAGTGTCCTCTGAAGTCATAATCGTCTCTAAGGATGAGACACACCATGTCGTCCACCGTCTGTTCTCTTGTGTTTTCTCCACCTTCTGCTCCTCTCGATCGCCTCCCTCCCGTAGAGGAAGTTGCCAATATTTGTCCCTGTCCTCGACCCGCGTCCCGCTCCTCACCCGATTCCCACCCTCCTCCACTTCCTCCTCCCCTCTGTGCTGTGTTGACATTTAAAGGGCTAGTGTGGCCCCGAGCACCACGGTGTCATGCCCTTGGGCCTGAGATGCCCTCTCTCCCTCTCTCTTACTGCTGCTCACTCTCTAACTGTCTCTCTCTTTGGCCCGGCTGGGTCAGCACAATCAAGTCAGTGGAGCTTTGCAGCGGGCCAGTAGAAATGGATAATGTCTCCAGTTTGAGCATGGTTATGCTGACCTTGGCTAAGAGGGGTCGGCAGAGGCTGGGCAGGATTGGCAGATATCATTTCATAAATCCAAGGCTAAAACAGCTGAATCATTAATTGAATGAAACATTCAGCAACATTATGGCATGAAAACATCTTGGACCAGTTTCAAAAGTCGGCAGAGTCGATGAGGGAAAAAGAGAACAGTTGTTGAAAGGGGAGAACAGGTCATCCACATAGCTTTAGTAGTTTTATTCTGGATTCAGGCAGAAATACTTAAGCAAAATGCAAATTAAAAAATGTTTTCTTTTGTTTAAAGTGTCCTAGGATCGGTAGACACAAAGTATGCCGATACATTGAATATTTACTTTCTCCTTCAACCAGGCTGAACCACAGACTTTAATAAAGATGGACAACGTGTCTCCACTTCCTTCCACTATCCAGCAATGACTCCGAACACTAACGCTGCCAGCTTGAGCATTTGAAACCAGAGTTATTTATAACATGGGATTCAGAAGTCAGTAAGAAAATAATCAACCTGCCAATTTGCTATATCGTGTAAATTTGCCAGCCCCATTTTTCACCTTTCCTCAGGATACTTAGAAACAACAAAAACAATGGCGGCTACATACATGTTTGGACTGGTTAGCACCGCTATGCCTAATTTAAAGTTTCCAACTAAGTTTAGCGTCACTGCACCACATTCACACACATCTGCTTCACTGGCAGAACAATTTATCGATGTTCTCGACTGCAGAGTTCTTCTCTGGTATTTGACAGATCGTTGATTTGGACTTTATCGCCACCTACTGGCCCGGCATACTTGTTTGAGCCTTTGTAGTCGCTTTTGTGTTCTCGTCTGCATAAAGATATTTTGTATTGTGTGATAAGTGGATGTTGGGAAAATATCCATTCAAAAAACATCCGCCTTATGTTGACAGAATATTTTGTCCTATATGAAAACCTAGATCTCTGCCCATCGGCCTGACAGTCCTTCTTTCAGAGACTCTGGTAAAGAGGAGAAGGGGTCGAGCACAGAGCAGAGCACCTCTGTCTAACAACTTCCACCTCCGTCACCTCTCCTCGCTCACCTGGATAAATGCACTACATGCCAAATTAGACTGTGCACAAGAGGACGGAGCGATCAAAAGGAGACACAAATTTTCACCTGCCGCACAAACGCACATGCCCGCCTTTTTCTCCCCCATCTCATATCTGTATGTTTATCTCTTAATTGACCCTATCTGCGCTTATCTAATCTCCCCCTCCCATCTTTCCGTCTCCACGTATCTCTCCATCTCTCTCTGCGTCTCCCTCTATCTGGACAGACACCGGGGCATAATGGACAGGGGCCTCCACAGTAATTATTCAATCAGCCTCATAACCTTGTCGCAGGTTGGAGCGGCCCATTAATGCACTCACCCAAATGGACCCTGCCACTTGGACTGCTAATGCTCGGGCTAGCTAGCAGCACAACAGGCTGAATGTCAGAGGTGTCATGGAGACAGAGAGTGTGACACGGTCCCATCAATGGAACCCAGTCGACTTAATAAAACATGGAAAAGGAAAGTGCGACTTCTGAGAGACTAAAAATATAGTGCGCCCACGGCCATAGAGATCAACCTGCATCAAGTGTGACCGCAGGTGTTGACGATGTGTTGCTGCAGTGCTACATATTCATAAGTGTGGCGTATTTGTGTGTACACGAGTGTGTGTTGGGACCCCTACCCTATAGAGTCGTGCTCTCTTGGCACAGTCTCAACATCAGCACGGAGGAGGGCACTGCGGCGAGCGTTCACAGCCGCTGTTTGCCGCGTGTTCCTCTCTGGCTGCTCGCTTGGCTCCCGCTCTGTTTATTTTCAGCAGGGACATTTAATTAGGGCCTCCAGCTGTCAGAGGTTCGTTAGCATGCCCCTCCTCTCCCGAGCCACCCCTCCCCTCGGGGAGTCAGGGGCATCAGGCAAATGAACACATTTAAGTCAAAGAGCACGCAGACAGACAATAGCCCCGCTGCCATGCCACCACCTCCCCTAGGTAGAGACATGGTTGTTTTATGCCTCATCTCCCCAGCCCCTAGGGCCCAATACGGAGCCTGGCCAAGACTGTGAATGTGGAGGTGGAGGCAGAGGAGCCCTCATAGCCCACTGGAGACGACGTGCACGCTGTGATCGTGCAAAGGTGAAGAGGAGGATTGAGCCTAGCGATGCACAGTTTACAAGAAAAAGAGGACGGCCCTGGGTCTGAAGGTTTTTATGATTTTTTTGATGTCCTCTAAAGGACTGCAAATCTGACAAAGATATATGACCCTGCATGTAGAAAAACCTTTCCCAGGTTTCCATCATGTGCATTTGATAAACTAAAAAAATTACAAGGCAGTTTTTGTGCTCTGACATTTTAGGGGGTATCCTGGTAGCCGAGGGATAAAGATGCGTAAACTGTGATCGCAACGTCTCAGGAGCCTGTTTCGCCAAGTTTGCAACATGCGAGCTGCAATTTGTAACACTACATCTTTTCCCCAGTATTTGCGTTACATACATGACCAATGCACAAGTCCTGTAGGACTAATGTTATTAGCAATTTGAGATATTTACAACGTTTTCATATTTAAGTTCTAGGGAGGAAAAAAAATGTCCACAAACTACTATGAGTTTAGCATCAATTGGTAATTTCCAGGATTTACTGGAAGTACTGGTTTTACTTAATAAACTCTTGTTAATGAGAGTTTGCAGTAGCCTCTCCCTCTTTCTCCCTCATCCATCTTTAACCATTACCAACCAGAGGTAAAAGTAGAGTACACGTACAGCGATCTGAGATATTCCTGTGAATAAAATTTTATCAGAACAGAGACAGTTCAATATCATGGAAGATGTAGAAAACATGGTTGGTAATAACATGGACAGAATATTTGATGTAGCTAGTTTTCTATCTCGCCTTTCATGTTGTTGAGTAGTTGTAAATGAGTGTCTGGAGCATCCAGGGAGATGAAGTTTGGTATTCTGGTTGGAGGGCTGAAAACTACTTATCATGCATTACGGCCCGGGTTGGACCTCAGGATTTGGAAGTCAAAAGACTTTTTAATGTACAATTTTTCAGCCGCTGATCAATCGACAGCTGCTGGACATGAAGATCTCTCTGCCTCCTCTCGCTCAGTATTCCACAGTCTGACTCGCTCGGCATTCTGCTTCCGTATCAGAGCGCTGGCTGCGGTTGACCTTGACGACTCTGGATCATTCCCAACCCAAGGTTCTCTCCAACTCTCAAGGGCCTTAGCGTCAGCCCCCGCCCTCGTCCATGCCTCTCCCATCATCCTCAACACCCCCCATCTCTCCGAACCCCCTCTTCGCTCCACCCTGGCCCCTGCCTGGGTCATTAATTATCTAATGGAATCAATACAGTGTTAGATTGGACCAGAGTGACCCCACCCGCCCCCAGGTATCTCCGTGATGATGAGGAGGGTTTGGAGACAGCGTAACGGAAAGATGATAACAGCTTGTTTGAGTGATCCAGCAGCGTGCAGTCAGTGCGGACCGTCCCTAAACTGGAAGAATACAGAATAAAGAGATCGGCGATAAATAAATTATTAGAGAGGGGGAGAGGGCGGTTGACAGAGACCGGATGGGGGATGGAGAAAGCATAGAGGCGGAGGGAGGCAAATCAGACAGTAGGGGGAGGAGGGAGCAAAATGATGGACGGATAAAGACGTGGTTGGGTAAAAAAGGAGAGAGAAAGAGATTTGCTAATGTTCACCCTAGGTAATCAATATCTTTTTCCTCCTCTTTTATTACAGAGAGCTTTGGTGAGCACGCTTTGATGTCCACTCCTCACGGGCGTGAAGCTACGCAGAATCCAATCCATGCCTGTCATAATTATCGTCTGCCTCAGCCTGAATACATCCACAATAGAAACTTCACCTGCGCTGTTTTAAATGTGAAAGCCATTGCACAGAACCTCATTTTTTACAATGTTTACAAGGTGAATTACCTATTTTTCTAAAGATTGGTGTCCAGTGATTTTTCTCAAACTGTTTTATCACGTCTTGCTAAGTATTTAAAGTGAATAAAAAAGTTTAATAACTTGTAGATGCAGGACTTTATTGCAAAATATTGCATTTTTTGTAAAGAGCATAACTTATTTATCGTGACTTCATCTTAATTTTTATTAAAGAGACAGAATATCCAAAATGATGTAAACGAATTGTGATATAAAAAATACACAATTGAATTATTATACTTTTCACTATTACCATCTTAACTCATCTAACCCCATGTCAAAAAGTAAATTCTGGGGCTGAGTTTAAATGGTTTGGGCATAAAGCTGACAGAATCAACAGGGTGATAGTGTATTTCAACTTCAATTAGAATTGATTAAAATATTTAATCAGAGACAATGAGAAGGTACAAGTGAAACACATTGGAAAGTAAAGATCACTTTTTGAACCAAAATAGCAAAAATAAAACCGTCCCCGACCCTTAAATCTCTGCTTACAAGAAAAAGGAAACCCTGCTCCAATAAAATAGGCCAAGTCAAAATAATAGCTGCAATCTATTCGGAGGTTAAACACCTCGACCTCTTTGTAAGGCAAGGCTTAAGGTGGAAAGTAGGACTTACGGGAACGTCAATGAAGAAAAAAAGGAAACTCTTTTTCACAACAGGAATGCTAATGTGCTCACGTGTTAGCAGAATACTTATAATAGTCATATATATAGTGTTTCTTATTTAGTTTTCCCAAAATGTGGTAACGTTATTGGTCAAGAGACAGAAAAGGTGGAATGGAGACAGAAAGTTCTGTCCTCTGACTGCGGAAGATTCGGCTAAGTGGATGCAGCTCTCTGTATAAGGCTGAAGACAGTAAATCCACTCCTGCAGGCAGAGACCACATCAGCACTGACCTCCAAATAACCACAGGCCAAAAGAACAGCACACAGGGTCACACACTCCCTCCAACACACACACACCAGTCTGCGCACTGGATGCCGGGACTTGAAAGCACACGCTCGTTCCACACGCCAGCACAGAGACGTCCGCATGTTAATACAGACACATCAATTAGCATGGTCCAAATGTCAGAGTTCAGAGCGGAGTCAAACTCTTGATAAAAGTTACAAAAGTTGTGTAGGTGTCTCTCAGCACACTGGGGGAAACGAGGATACTCGCTGGCCTCATACTGTATTCACACACACTGGGCCAAGAGTTTATTTTTTCTTATTATTCCAAATATATTAATCATTAGTTCTGCTTTATGTCACAGCAGAAATGAGAGAAAAGAAAAGACATGGTAAAGTGATTGTGAGGGAGATTTGCAGAAAGTGGAAGCATATACATTGAGTGCACGTCACCGACAAACTCCTTGTTGTGTGAGAGTGAGTGACTGAGTGTGCGTGTGTGTGTGCATGCACAGGCTGGCGGATCCCTTCAGGCCGGTGTGTGAATGACAGCAGGGGGTTATGTAAGGAGCCACAGCGGGGCCGGAGTGGACAGTCCGACCGGAGATCAGGTCAGCAGAGTGTGACACTAAACACATCTCCCTGACACCACGCTGACACCCTCTGTCACAGACCCACACACTGTCTGTCAACGCTCCTCTCACACACACACACACACACACACACATGCATGGTGAGAGCAAGGAGTGTGTGAGCGGCTGTCTGTCAACAGCAGACACTGACCACCTTAGTGTGTGTGTGTGTGTGTGTGTGTGTGTGTGTAAAAGAGCAACAGAGAGAGACAAAAATATCAAGAGAGGAAGAAGAAGGGAAGGAGAGGTGAGGTCTGCGTCTACATGAGAACTTGAGTAGAATGAGTCACGTAAAGTGACTGCTGCTGTCGACCAACCAGGATCAAATCAGAAATTAAACAATATTTACATAAGTCAGTGAACTTTTCTTTTTTGGTATGTTAGGTGACTTTTTTCTGAATTTAAGAAGTCTACTTAATAGCGTGATCACTACTTAAGCACTAAAGAATTTAGCAATAACACAAACGAGCACATAGTGACGCTCATGAGATCCAACTACCTTTAATTAAACTTCCTTCCTCTGCCTTCGTGTTGTGTGCAGCCTTTGAACGTGACGGTTTCTTGCCAACATTTCGTTTTTACTTTTGTAAAAAAAAATCAGGGTCTGTCACACAGTTGCTGTTCGTGTTGGCATGAGCCGCAGCTCCTTAAATCCAAAGGAGAAACTTGCGTCTGGGTCTAATAAAAAAGGCCTGAAGGCAGGTCACGACCAAAGCATCCTGCACATGCGAGAAGTGAAACGGATGGAGAAGGCTTATTGGCTCAGAGGGCCGGGGTATAAACTGTACCATGCACATGCGATGACACGGTCTGACCCCGTGTCCTGTCAGCGTTGCTGTGCAAACTTAGGACAGTAAAGTAGAAATACTTCGAGAAATACTAACTCTGGCATTTAGTAACTAACAGCTGCCTGAATAGAAATTGTGAGTATTAACAGTAACTCTTTATTATTGTAATGTTTTGATGCCTCGCCCTGACACCTGAAAGAGAGATGCTGGGCTGCAGGTAGTTACTTGGGTTAAATTTATCTGAAGCACCTGCTATCTCAGCAGGTGTGGGTGGAAATGATGCTGTTGGTGCAAGAAACAGCACAATTTATAGCAAACATAGATTTTGGAGTGACGTTCAGGGAGCGCGTGCAAAATAAACAGTCGACACAAACATCTGCACATGGTTAGACGCAGATGTGCACGCAGGATATCATAGAAAATACACTTAATATATTTACTCTTACACAACCGCACATATACTCACATATTTTTCATTCAGGGGAAAAAACAGTTGCACTATTCTGACTGTTTGACTTTTAGTCCAAAAGTCCAAAAGACAAAACCTGAAAAATGATGAAAAACTAAATAAAGCCTGCGGACACTGAAATCCTTATGTGATGGTTTGATGTTGTTATTTACGTTGGAGCAGCAGTGAACACAGTCACAGTCATCACAGGCGTTTGCCACAGTCATTCTGCCAATTTGGACCACCTGCTGCAAGCACCCTGAAGGCAGCGAACGTTACTAAGCCAGTAAACTGTGACCAATTCTGCCTCTGCAGGTGGAGACGGACACGCAGCCGCTCACTCTCTGAGCCTCTATATGCCCAACTCCAACACGCACACACACACGCATACACACACACTATACAATTTATCCGAAAGTGGAGGTCTACTATTAGTGCGGTCATTTAGCACAGAACATACACGTTTATAATTATTTGTCTTATCTGAAAAAGCGAAGACTGGAGTGTTCGCAGTGCATGTGTTCATCAGTTTAACTAAACGGATGAAATGCACAAAGAACTTGTGTAAAAAGCAATAATGATGCCTTCAGGGGAGAACAAACATTCAGTCTAATTATCTGATCAAATCAAACACGTCAATATTAACTGATAGTAAATCTTTAATCTACACTTTTTTGTAGAGGTAAACACGTCAATCTATGTATTCGTCTGTAATTAAATGTAGATTTAATTCTTCTGTCAAACAGTAATTAAGCGGTCAAATTTAAAATAAAAAGCTTCATTAAATTACATTTTATCATTTATCTTTTCAGGAAAAATATGACATATGATTTATATTTGACTTTTATTTCACTGTTAATATTATAACTTTACAAACGTAATAAATACGTAACTCTTCTGTTCTGTCCTAATTGAGACACAGTGAAAAGTTCACACCACACCCTGATATTCTATCTCAGGTAAAGTAATTCAGGATTAGATTTTTACAAAATACAATAAAACTTTGATTCAATCTCCATCATGATTTGTAAAATGATAAGTGAAGCAACAGATTAAATATGAAAATCAGCTTTAATCTGACTTCAGATGTCTGTGAGGAAATAAAAAGAGACTGTGAGAAAGTGTGTTTACACTCATGCATGTGTGTGTGAGTGTGTGTGTGTGTGTGCCTGTGTCTGTAACTTGTCAGATTATCTACTCACCTGACGGACATTTCCAGCGTTCAGTCTGCTGCTGTTGATCTGATCCACTTTGTCTCTCTCCTCTTCTTCCTCTCTTCTTCTCCTCCTCCTCCTCTCCGGTGCCCCGGCTCTGCCCTGGCAGTGTCCCCCCTCCACCACCACCTCCTACTCCACCAGCACCTCGGGCTTAAACACAGCAAACAGACACGGTGTGTGTGAGCCAAGGGGGCTGGGACAGGGGCAGCGGCAATCCCCTCACTTTCACAAAAGCCATGGCCGCGCTGCCGGACACATCGTGGACTCCCGTAGCAAGAGTGTGTGTGTGAAGGAGAGTGAGAGACAGTGTGTGTCGGTGTGTGTGTGTGTGTGTGTGTGTGTGTGTGTGTGGGGCTAGAGGATGTAGCTCTCCTTGGCTCTCAGACTCACTTCACTAACACTCTGCTCCGCTGCCTCTTGGAGATGGACTCGGATTAGGACACAGCCAGTGTGAGAATCTCTTTCTCGCTCTCTCTCTCTCTCACACTCCATCTCTCTTGCTCCCTCTCTCTCCAGCCGACATGCTCCCTCCCACCCTTCCTCTCTCCCGCTCACTCATTCACTCTCCTCGCTGAGCTTCTTTCTTTTCATTTCCTCTTGGGAAAGCCGTGCACACCAGTTGTCTCTGCCTTCAGCTGCTCCCTCTCTCTCTCTCAGTCACTAGTAAATATAAAAGGCATGCTTGTACAGCCCCTCGCCTCAGTCTCTCTCCGGCTCTCCCTCCCTAACTCGCTGTGTCTCATGCTTTCGTTTACCCCCACCTCTCGGTGCCCCCCTCACTTTCTTTCTCACTGTCAAAGCTGCCTTTCAAATGCTGATTAGCAGCCAGAGAGGGAGCGAAGGAGAGCGAGCGAGAGAGAGAGGATGACTGAAACAAGTGAGAGATTCCATCACATCCCAACGTAAACTGTGACTTCTGTCCCCCCCCCCTACACACACATGTTTTTCTCCACTTATGAGGACAATGCATAGACTTATATAAATTCCTGCAGCCTCACCCTCAACTGAAAAAAATACGTTTTGAGAACAAATTTCTCCAAATTAAATGACATAAAAACTCAATAGTCATTATTTTCCTTCCTCATTTTCTGTTTTCGTTTCTTAGCCTCAGAAAAGTGTTACCAAATAATTTATCTGACAGTTTTTTCTGTTCAAGGTTCAGAAAAAACATGGCATCCTTTTAAACCTACAACAATCTGCTTCCACTATCGCTAATGACGATTGATTGATTGACTGTACAGGTTTAGGAACAACCACTACATCCGAGTTAAAAAGGATAAAATAAAGCAGTTTGAGCCGTCAGTAGGAAATAGAACTTGACCAGCAGTCATACACATTTTCTGACCAGTCCATTCCATATCCATCCATAACAGTGAGACACAAGGTCCCTGTCAGTGAGGTTAAGTATTTTGACAAAAGGAAAAGATGAAGATTTTTCTCATGGAAAAAGTCAATTATTGTCCTTAAATGGAAACCGTGACCTTGTGAGTGTGAAAAGAAAATATGACTACCTTTTGTATCACTCCAAGTGTCACACATGACACACACTCGACCTGTAATTTGTCCACATGACACTGTGTGGAACCACTTTACAAGAGAAAAAGTAGAAGCTTGTGCCAACATGTGTAAAAGTCCACAAATCTAAAAAGCAAAGTAAGTTATGGAGAAAATGTCATATGATTAGATTACTATTACTAGCAGAGGGGGAGCAAATTTTAACTGGAGCCTTATCGATTTGTACAATGAAAATTGACGGTACCTGCGATCATGTGTACCGATAAACACCTGATGTGAAAAATTTGATCTTACAGAAAAAACAAAGCAGAAAAGATGTGCATTAGTAAACATGTAGTATACGTAGTATCTGTATATAGTTTATGGTTTAAATTTTTAAGCCCCAATTACTTTTCGTTGTCGTAAAGGTTCGATAATATTTTAGGAATCATTGTCAATTCTTTAAAGATATATGTATCTGCCAATATATCAGTATCAGAAGCCATCGGTCTTGGTCCCAAATGATTATATACTGATGTGGAGTTCTGTCTATTATGATGCATGTGGATGTACTGATGATGGAAAGTTTTTTGGTATAAAATATCTAGTCTGTAAAGTAACACAACACTTTTCTCTGTAAAGTAGTGGAGTAATAATATGAAACAGCATGCTGCCAGATTGCTTGAGCTTACTGACCTGGCAGAGTCCCTTTTCTCAAAAGTACTAAAGAAGGTTTAATTCCCACTGTAAGTCAATCAGCTAAGATCTTAAGATGCTTCTGGGAAACGGGGCCCAGATATTGTTGAAGGATTTCTCCACAAAACAATCTTTTTCAAAATATATCTACTGTTTAGCCATGCTGTGATATTAATGCTCAGGCTACAGCTTCCGATTAGGCCTGACTGGTCTTTCACGTGTTACTTACACCATAAAGTTTTGGCCGGCGTGGAAATTCAAAAAGTGCCTTAGGAGCGCAGTAATGGGAGGTGGATCTAAGACCCCCCCACGCACACACATACACAACATACCAGTTAGCTTCGATTATCTGGGTTTTCTAGCTATGCAGGACACATATTTTGATGGAAATCTCACATGAAGCAGAATTAATTTATCTCACCTGAGAGCGGCCTATTTAGTTTACAATTCAAAAACATTTAAGTTTGCAGCATCAGTTTGATCATACGAAGGAAAACTCTTTCAAACTGGACTTTAGGGTTACATTTTGATAGTGAGATGAGTATTTTCAAGGCTCTACTTTAGAATTACAAAATGTTGATGGAAGCCTCTATAAAATTAATGGTCTGCAACATTTAACGGTCCGCAGCCTTCCACTGAAATAGTCTATAAAGTTACATAAAATGAAAACACCCATGTGAAGTACAAGTACCTCAACATTGTACCAGAGTACAGTCCTTTGTACTTTGTTATATTCCACTGTATGAACTGTGTTCACAACCTTTAGAGTCAACATGTGCTCAGACCCACAACCACATAAACACAAAAACAACATATACGATCACAGATCCACACGCACACACATGCAAGCGAATACGTGAACAAATAATCACACTCAGAGACTCACTGAAGTACTCTCTCTCTCTCCCTCCCTCCCTCTCTCCCTCCTCTCCTCTGTTCGTTCCCCTTGCCCTCAAACACTACTCGGAATATTGATACATCACTCCCTCCTCCTTTTTCTCTCTCTCTCTCTCTCCGCCTCTCCCTCTCTCTCTCCCTCCATCACTCACTTTCTCTACTGAATACTGATAGGCTGTCTACTCCGTGGTCTGAGTTTCAAATCTCTCTCTCTCTCCCTCACGCTTCCCTCCATCGCTGCACCCACTACGGAAGAAGAAAAAAACAGCAACATAAAGGAGGAAACAGCAGAAGTTAATGCACTGAGGTAGACATAAATTCACTTAAGTACCATTTCAGATTATGTCAAGCTAAAAATGGGCTTAACATTGTGGAGAGAAGGGGGGGGGTGGGGGTGACAGAGGGAGAAAAGTGCCGCTTTTGGTCGTCCGTCTCTGCCGGCGGAAACTGGCCGAGCGGCTCGCACCACCGTGGTGAACAGGCAGCCGGCAACAAAAGGGGAAAGACGTGTGAAAAGTTCAGGCAAATGAAGACGCATTCAGTGCTTTTCTTTTTTTTTTCTGGGTCTGACTCCCACCCTCCCGTCTCATTGTTGGGCATGTCGGCTGTGGCGCAGCCGAGGGGGAGAAGAAGGGAGTGAATGAGGTCGTCAAAGAGTCCCAGTGAGCCCCCTCCACTTCACACACACACGCACGCACCCGCGCACACGTACACACACACACTTAAGAGCTTGAAACAACTGAGAGCAGGAGACGGTGACAATAAGAGAAACAGAAAATGTCCTGCTTTTCTCAAACGGATGGGAAGGTGGAAGGACCTTTCAGGGTATTTGTGTGTTTAAGTGTGTGTGTGTGTGTGTGTGTGTGTGTGTGTGTGTGTGTAGTGTGTCTCGTCTCTTTGGAGGAGGCTTTCTGTCTGCATTAGAAGTGCAGCGCGTCTGAGACACTGGGAGAGGGAGTATGTGATTTTGTCCTCCAAGTCTTCCCCAGGCGTCCTTGAAGAAGACTTGCAGGGAATATCTGGCTGTGTGTGTGTGTGTGTGTGTGTGTGTGTGTGTGTGTGTGTGTGTGTGTGTGTGTGTGTGAGGCGTAGTTTAGAACCGGAGGCTTGCCTCGCGGAGCAGTATTACAGGTGTTCCCCTTCACAACTCAGGGTGCTCTTGGAAGTCAGAAAAAAACACAACCTGAGGCTGATGGGGAATTAACCTGATGAAACTGAAAAGTAATTGAATCAAGTGGGTAAATGACAGTAAGAAAAAAAATCATTAGTCAGTGCTTATGTGTGTTTCTGATGCGTGTGCATCCGCACATGCATGTGGAAGGGCGTGTGACGACTGTTGCAGGCAGGAAGACGGTCCCACCCATGTCTGACCTTGTTTCTCTGCCTGTCTACACATGCTATTGGTTGCGGTCAATTCAGTGTATTGACAGAAATCTGCCTTTTCAGAGACTCACTTCAAACAATCCAGTGACTGAAGACATGTTTAAAAACTTTAACATCTTTAAAGTGGAAATAACATTAAAACGTCCTCAACTGAAAGAAAAAAAAATGAAAAAGTTCTTTCCTTAAGATTTTTTCACTCCTTTATATACCCCTGACTACTTCAATCAGGATCTAACAGAGTAAAATGAGTGTATGATGTAAACTACATTATATCTCTCGCTGGCATGAACTGGAGAATATGGATTAAATAAGAGGAAGAGAAGAAATATGTGCTATGTGTAAATACTGTGTACTTCAGCTCCTTGAAGTCTGAGAGATGTGTTCATACTGTAGCTTGTTACTGGATTTTTCCAGGGATCACAGGTCACTGCTGTTTACTCAAACACACAAAAGCTGAGGTCACTCAACAATACAGGGAACAGCTTGAGTCAGTTTTAGTGTTAAGACTGATCAGATTTATAACCACAGACTTCCTGTGAAACCTGGCCGACTCTTTCACAGCTAAAACACACTGTGAGTGTGCAGTGAATGAAAATGAAGCTGCTCTGCTGAAATGCTTCCAAAAATAAACCAGACAATATTAGACACATGCACATATTTACATTTGATCCAAACATACT